AACGAACAACAAGCATAACACCGGTATATTCTAACATTAAATTTAAATAATTTGTGATAACTAAGATTTATATGAAATAAAATTTGTTACATCCTACATGTATGTATATACATATAAATTATATGCAGTCGTTTGCGTATATGCAACGATGCGACGAAGCAACTACGTGAAGATGGATGCAAAGGCTTGTTAGAAACATTCAACCATGGACGGAAACACGGGGGAAACTGATTTTTATCTTACGCAGTTTTTAACAGGACATGGCTGATATAGTGAATATCTATACAAATATGGACATGATGACGAAACAAATCGCTCCTTTAGCAGGAGCAGCAACGAAAATGCATTGTATATCTTCTTTTCCTGCCCAAAATACGAAAAAAAGACTAGAAATAGAGAATGTGACAAACGACGGAATGACACCGGAGAATGTAGTGCTTTATATGATCGAAGGTGGTCTGAGACGGAGTGAGAGCGTGGGCAGCTATATAGTAGCAATGCAAGAGCTAAGGAAGAATAAGTGGCAATGAATGAATAAAGAGCCGAATGGCTGAGATTGGTATCACGATGTAATGCCTAAGGGCAGTTCCGTGAACCAAATACAAGCAATGACGATGGAGTTCAGAGTTTAGTATGTAGGCGTACTGTGCTGCCAGTAATGCTTGCCGTTTTTTTCAAAGAAAAACGGGCGCATTATAATCTCAACTATGTTAATAAACACAAAAACATACATAAGTTACAGGAGACTACACAAAATAACAACAAAGGAGGAAGTCAGTAATTCAACAAGGACAGCGCTGGACATACAAACATTAACATAAGAACAAAATGAAACGAAAAAGGTTATAGGTTGAATGGTCCAAAACCCTTAGTGGAAAAAAAGCGAGTCCGTTCCATATACAATTATACAATTTGATATATACAAAATATACAAATTTTACTTTTATACACATATACATATGTGTATGCTGAGTTTGAGGTTTCGACGATATTTCCAGACACCATTAACTGTTTTTAAAAAACAGTTTAAGTAATGTACATCTTCATAAACAAAATAAGTGCCGAAAGCACAGTACCTGCCGATTTGCATAACTTGTGTCGTTGTACACACCGTTAAACAATAAAAAAAAAAAACTAAGTAAATTATTACATACTTGCAATATTTTTGCGATCATCAGTGGTGGAAGGTACAAAAGAAAAGAAACTCAAATATATACATACATATATTATATAATTAAAAGATACATATATAGCATATTCTTCCGAATATTACATACTTACAATGTAAATACAAAACGAAGAGCAAACCTTTGTTCGCACAGCAATTATATACATACTCTCTCATTTTAAACTTCATCGCGGAAAACATACTTACAGAGTCCGATATTGTAATTGTAATTAGAAAATTCTTTAGCACCCGATTTAATATACATATGTACATATTTATATGCAAGTTAACGGCAGCAGCCACACAGACACAACAAATTAAACAAATTGTGTCTTCCCACAATACTACTGCTCGGTCAGTAAAATACTTTAATTAATAAGAAATGAATACTTAATTTGTTTTAGTAAGTAAGCATAATGCAATGTTCCATTATTTGTTTTGATAATGAGAATAGTTAGAAACTTAATGCTCTGGCATTTCATCACTTAATGTAATGTCTCCTAAACTTTAAACTACTCTTTTTGAGGTGGTTGACATGATATCTCAATTTCTACTGAACCGATTCGTTTGAAATTTGCTATATATCTTTTTTATACAATGCTCTGCCTTATATTTCCAAAAATTTTGATTCGAAGTATTTTTAAAAAATTCGCAAAAATCGGGCCAAAACAATTTAATTTTTTTTTTTTGAAAATAGTCAACCCGATAACAACATCCTTACTAATGAAAAATTTTCTGTTTTTAGATCTCTACAAGGGTTGAAATCACGTCAACGCCCGTGTCTCAGCGAATTTTGGTTTTTTTCTTTCAATTTTTTTTTATAAAACATATAAAAAAATGTAAAGTAAAAATGTTTTTAATTTTTGTTATCTTAGTTTAAAAAGTGTCTAAAATTCATGCGTCTAGACCAGAATATCCCATTAATCTGTTTTTGCGGTGAAAATTTACATAAATTAAAGTAAAGTAAAAAAATACCCAAACAAAATTTTTTATCTGAAAATAATAAATTTTCTCAACTTCTGACAACAAAAATAATTTAGTTTAAAAGTTTGAAATCAAACACAAAATGCAATTGGAGAAATCAAAAGCATCTCAATTATTAGAAATTTCAAAAATGGCTGATCATGATAAACAACAAGGCAAACCTGCAGAAGTTACACTCTCAAACAAAAAATTTCAACAGATAATTCAATTTAGAGATTCATCACCGAGAGTGATAGCTTTATCGAATTTTTTGATGGTATCTGTCGGCGAAATGGCTGGGTGAATGATTTTTTCACTGGCGGACACGATTTCTCACGTTTGGATCATCTGAACACAAAAACCCAATTTACTCCTAAAAAGTACGTAAATGGTTATCGTCTCTACTAGAATCATGAAAAAATGTTGATAAAGAAAAAAGTAGTTAACGTTTTTTTTTTATGTTAACTTTTCCCCATGTTTTTCTACATAAATTTTGTCTTAATATTGTCAATAAATTATAAAATTATATAGGCAGGCGTTTTGTGAACATTTAAAATAAAGAAACAATTAAGCAAGTTAGTTGAGTAGTTCGRCGGGAATCATATCCGCCAGTTTAAAATACTGAAAAAGCATACAAAGATGGACATAAACGTTTTTCGCCTTTTTCGAAACCTTCCAACGGTAAAGTTAGTTTCTACATTAATTAGAAAGGTATAAAGGAAAAAAATTCTAAAAGGAAAAAAAAATTGAAAAACATTACTACTACTGACCCCTTAAATACAAAAATTCAAAGTAAAGATAGCGTATGCGCACGCTTTCTGGCAGCGTACGAGGCCATGTAGAGCTACTACTCTTTCTCCGAGGGTAGTTACAACTTCAAAAGAAGACCTAAATACAGGTATATTTTTGAAAGTACCAGCTTGGGATACAGAAGTTTTTAACAGAGGTTATATTACGTCCATTCGAAAYATCTTCACCACCTTGTACATAAACCATCCTAAGCTTTCACGACCACCAAAGCTTTACCATCTCAGATACAAAACAAAAAGGCAAACAGGCAGTATCGTCAAGCGTTTCGCTTTAAGTGAAGTAAACTTTAATCTGGCTTGGGAAGCATTGGGCGAAAGATACGAAAATGAAAATGTATTGGTAGATAACCAAATAACAATTTTAATGAATTTACCAAAAATTTAACAAGAAACCAGCCAGGAATTTCAGAAATTATAGTGGACAATGACTAATAGTTTATCAGCAACTCTGCCTGATGTAGCTTTGCTGCGATGAAAGCAATCACTAGTGGCAAGAAAAAAATTGCCAAAATGRTATCAGATGAAAGAGTTTTGAACTRCTCAGTATGAAATAGCTGTACGAGTAGACAAAACAAAAAAAAAACTATTAAGCCAAAAAGTCATCTAACTGAGGGGATGTTCGAGCAAGCAAATAACTGCGGCAATATTGCAACCCTGATGTTTTTTTGCATATGCTCAGCTGATACTTATGCATATATTTTGCAAATATTTTGCGCGGCATGCAAGTGAATTGAACAAGTGAAGTGAAAAAGTATCAAAAATGATTTTTTTAATAAATTTAACAGTTGATAACATGGTGGAGAGTGAGAGTACTTTACTTTTGAAATACAAAAAAAAAAGGAAAGAAAGTTTTGCGCGTAAAAAGAAATGGCTTTTGACTGAAATTTTAAAACAGAGGACGATAGTGAAATCGCAAAACTTCTTCAAGACAATTCCATTTTATCCCCCGGACATATATTTGTCACATTTTCGGATGTCTCGTGAAATAAGTAAGTTTTCTGATTTAAATAATCTCCTAAATAAACACAGATATATATATGTATATACTTCGCAGGAATTAAAGAGCGCCTTGGAGCCTTTTTGGATAACGTCACGAGGGGAATATTCAATGGATCAGGCCTTGCATATTACCTTGTGGAAGCTTAGTAACTGCAGAGTCACTTATCGTGAATTATCAGATAAATTTGATGTTTCAAAAGGGACTGCCCACAAAATTTTTCTTAAAACGATCAATGCAATCTGTAAGTTGAAGAATGAAATATGTTGGCCATCAATTTCCCAACAGCAAACAATAATGGAGCGTTTCCAAGCAAGCCGACCGAATGCATTTCCTTTCGTAGTCGGCTGTTTGGATGGGACACATTTTAAAATAAACACACCGAAGAAGGATGCAAGTAGCTACWATGACCTAAAGGGGAACTATTCCATTATTATGCAGGTATGTACATATGGTGATGGTTAAGCTAGAACTATTTTAAAAAGCATAAAACATTTGCAATGTTTAGGGCATATGCGACAGCACATTTCGTTTCTTGGATGTTTTTATCGGCTACCCAGGGAGCTGCCATGACGCCAACGTATGGAAAAATAGTCCGATATACAAAGGAATTACGTCTGGAGAGATACAGCTTGCAAAAGATGCTATAATTTTAGCTGACTCAGCTTATCCCCTTTCAAAATATTTGATCGCGCCTTATAGAGATAATGGACATCTGTTGAGAGAGGAGAAACAATTTAATTATTATTTAAGTTCAACTCGGGTATTCAAAGATCACGCTTTTGGGATTTTGAGGGGAAAGTTCAAAATTTTAAATCATATTGATATTCAAAATATGGAAGAGGTATCAAAAGTTGTATTAGCTTGYGTAATTTTGCATAATTTAATAATGCGGAACAATTTTAATGATTCTGAAGTCAATTATCCATTGGAAAATCTCGAAGCATTTAATGAAAACGATGCTGAAATGCATGAAAACATAAATGATACTAACGAAGGTATTATCAAAAGAAATAATTTAAAAATGTTGTTTGTTTCTTAAATTTTTTATTTTTTAA